TTGGACGATTGACTAGTAACGGTTACAAGGCTTCTGTCAACCAGGGGGTGAGAGTGTAGAAGGAAAAGCAGACGTTCTTTGTGGTAGTGGGACTAAGCCTTTTAAAGGAGGTAAAGAAAGCGGAGATTCTGTAATAGTGCGCTTGTGTGAGAGCTCCCAGACAGCACAACAAAACGCTGAATTGCCTAGCCTCACGGTTGACAGATGTCCGGAGACCACTACGTCACATCACCAATATTACTAGCACCGCAATTCCAGACAGAGCACGTTCGATGTGCGAGCAAGTAATGAGTTCTTCTTTCTTCCGAAGGCTAAGATTATGGAAACCCTCACCGGGCTCATGCAATATGAAGTTGTTCTTCAAATAATTTGTGAGCTGGTCGATGTACGAAAATTTTTTCGGGTGAGTGGCGGAACGCAACAGTTGCGAGATGCGCTGGTTAGGTCCAGACGAAGTTCTGAAACATGGAAATTATAAACGCTCAAAAGAGCACCAGTAAAGGTCTGCAGTGTTGCACATTAAAGGCCAGGAATGAAGTTTTTGCTATAAGCTCTTCACTGAATGAAATATTAGAATGAGCTGTAACCGTCGCAAAGGCCAAGAAATTGGTGCAAGCGCAAAAATGATGTTCTTTATGCATTTTGCAAGCATTAAGGCCGATGTCAGACTTTGCTAACTTCGCTAGCGAATCGCTGGACAAGAGAGTTGCACCAGCGAATCGAACTGTGTACCAGCAGATCGAACTATGTGCCAGCGGATCGAACGATGTACCAGCGACTCGACACTGTTTGAAAGTGGCGGACCCAACGTTTGAAGGAAGTCCACTTTAAAGGAACACATTGTTTAAATGTGCGGGGCTTCCTTTAATCACTGGGTCCCACCACTTTCAAACAGTGTTGAGTCGCTGGACATCGTTCGATCCGCTGGTACACAGCTCGATTCGCTGGATTCGCAAACTCTGACATCGGCCTAATGGAAAACACTTGGCGACAGAACTCAAACTCGAAGCTTACCCCCTGTCCAGCAGTATAGGTTATTATGTTATAGGGAAAAGAAAGCACAGATGCTCGGTCAAGCAAGGGAGCTGCTACCTAAAGGCAAGAGATACCTATTCAAAAGTGCTTACTCCTTTCCAATGTGACATCGACGTGACAATTGAATTGCTAGACTTGCTCTCATATCACCCCTGCAACCTTTGCGTTTGCGAACATATTGAATTTCGGAAGATGCGAAATGTTTTAAATAGCGAATGGACAAACAACTTTTAAAATCAAACAATTGTTTTGATATTTATATTCATTGACGTTTTGTACAGATAAATGTGAACAAAGTTCGCTTCAACAACACATAACAAATAAATCTATTACTTCAAGAGAAATGACTTTTGTACTGTATTGAACACGTTCATGGTTTTTTCTTCGCAATTGCCGCGGACGAATGACTTGCTCCTGCAGAAGATTTCGCTGCTCCCGGAGCGGTTTTCGTAGCTCCCGGTGCATGTTTCGCTGCTCCTGATGCATGCTTTGACGAGTGCTTGGCCGCATTCAAGCTATCCATATATTTTCGTTGATCCTCGGCTTCAAATAAAGTAATGCTCAAAGGAACAATACATCTTGCGTCATAAGTAACGGATGATTTTCAACTTCTAATGAGATGTCCAAGAAGTTTTGAGTCTTTTAAGCGTACAACATTACTAGTTGAGGTTATTATTTGTCCAAGTTGAATGGATTGAACACGAAAACGGAATAGTCTTCTTAGACACCCTACTAAAACAGTGCCGAATCAAAGAACGTGAAGGTTAAAAGCTCACCAATTTTTTCATAACGACAACACCGGGGGTAATCCACTGTAAGCAATCGAGGATGAAGTAGCGTGGCTGAAACCGAAGCATAACAGTTGAAATGTGCCTTGATAAACTATGCCACATTGGCGCAGAAACTAACCGACTTCATTGATTCCGAAATTAAGAATCAATTGTTCATAGCTAGATGGATTTTGGAAATCCTTTCGTTCCTGCACCGAAATATTCACATCTATCCCAGCAGCTTTCCGTTCAAAGTGTTTATAGAAGATTTGCTAAAGGTAATGCAGTATTATGAACAAGTGAGAACAAAGTGGCAAGGAAAAAAAGGACGAAGATGTCCTCAACTCACCACTAATTCAGGATCACACTCCGCTGTCGGTGCTGGAGGTATAGCGACGTCTTGGTGAGGGGGCGTATCCATCGGCTAAACACTGAGCTTTCAAGTAGTCAAAATTACACAAAATAGAATTTTTACCTTGGCATCACCGTCGAGATCAATACCATGTAACGGACTATCATAAGGACGTGGTGTCCATCCACCAGATCCCGTTGATGCCCCGTCTTCGACCTCAAAAAAGCCTTATTCGATTAACACTAACCACTGGATAAGGTGGTGGAACTGTTCTCAAATACATTCTATAATGAGAACATCGCCATGTCTACTAAATATACCGTAATTACTTGTTTCAGAGCATTTCGCCCCTCTTCAAGAGCCATATCAATAAGACGTTCATTTTCATCGTCGGTATCACTTTTCTGAAAATGTTTTGTGGAATTATTGTTTTCATCGAATAGGCAAAACCTAGACAACAAATACTGCAATGGACAAAGCAGAAAAAGCAGAAGGCAATTGCAAAAACTCGTCAACAAGGAGGGCAAATTCGATCGAAAAGAGGCAGTGCAATATACTAATTCGGAGAGGACTCTCAGTTAGCGGTTTGAGAAAACTACGAGCGAGATATAGATACTACCTGACTAACTCGTTCCGGGGGGCGGGGTTCAACCATTCCTGAAGGGGGTGAGGAAGGGCTCTGAGCAACTTCCGCATCGCGGTCAGCTGGAATGAATTAAGAATAACGTTTGAAAACTCAGTACCATAATAACATTACCTCGTTCAAAAGCATCTTCTCTTTCTTCTTCTCCACCTGCGTATGAAACTAGCGATACAGCGGAGGAGACCTTAACACCCTACGTGAATAAGCATAGCTCGTACAATTTTCAATAAGCTACGTGCAAGAGGAAGTCTCAATTGTTGGCTAATAATGAGTCGTTCGTTTATCACTTGTACCACCACTAAAGTAAGTAAGTACGACTAAGTACTAACCAGGAAAGGCATTCAACTTCCCATGGAACTTTGAATTGAGACCCACATATATGGATAGAGCTTTAAACGCTGATTACAAACATGGAAAGCTAAAACTGCAAAATGAACCTGCCAAGGAAGTTGTGAGCAGTCAAAGTTGGCTCCAAGTTAAGCGTTACGTATTAACCGTGCTAGCCCCGAGCTTTCCAGAGTCGCCGTGGAAGTAGTGGGAGTGCTCTCAAAATTTGCACTGCAACAGGAAGAGAACTTATGACCTCCCGGCTGGAGAGCAGGGGCACTATCGCCATAGCTCGTTTATAATGTAACCAGTTGGCGCCGCACGCATTGCGCGCGCAACACAGATCTGTGGCGAATTTTGATGGTGCGACGAAAAATTTCAAATTTGGCTTGATACAATACGAATATCTGAATTCTCCGCTAAATTCTATGCGCTCTTTCTTCGTCAACCATTATCCTATTTTTCTCGGTCCTCGGCCCGGACAATAAATCTCGTGGCGAACTCCGTCTACTTCGGTGCGTGCCCTGCCGACCAATAGCATTTGGCTCCCTTCTTTTCGCCGACCTCTACCCCCTTTTTCACCGGTCTCTGGGACCTCTTGGAACCAAATTACGACACTTTTGGCAAACTCCGCCCACTTAGGTGCGTGCTCTACCCAGTGATAGCAGTTGAGCTCTTTTCCCTCACCAACCTCTAACCCCGTTTTCCCCTATCTCTAGGACCTCTTGCAACCGAATTGCGATACTTTTGGCAAACTCGCCCACTTGGGTGCGTGCTCTACCCACTAATAGCATTTGACCTCCTTTCCTTCGCCGACCTCCTCCCTTTTTCCCAGCCTCCTGGACTTCTTGGAGCCGAGTTATGAATTTTCGTCGCAAACTCCGCCCACTTTGGCCAAGCCCCGCCTACCACTGGCCTTTGACCTCCACTTTCCCACCCAACTATATCTTCTTTTTTCCCCACTCTCCGGGACCTTCTGGAACAGAGTTCTGAATTTTCGTCGCAAACTCCACCCACTTTGGTCAAGCTCCGCCCACCGATGACAGCTGGCCTCCACTCCCCCACCCACCTCTATCCACCTTTTCCCCAGCCTCCGGAGCTTCATGGAGCCGAGTTATAAATTTTCGTCGCAAACTCCGCCCACTTTGGTCAGCCCCGCCCACCATTGACAGCTGGCCTCCACTCCTCCACCCACCTCTATCCACCTTTTCCCCAGCCTCCGGAGCTTCATGGAGCCGAGTTATGAATTTTCGTCGCAAACTCCGCCCACTTTGGTCAGGCCCCGCCCACCATTGACAGCTGGCCTCCACTCCTCCACCCACCTCTATCCACCTTTTCCCCAGCCTCCGGAGCTTCATGGAGCCGAGTTATGAATTTTCGTCGCAAACTCCGCCCACTTTGGTCAAGCCCCGCCCACCAATGACAGTTAACCTCCACTCCTCCACCCACCTCTATCCACCTTTTCCCAGCCTCCGGAGCTTCTTGGAGCCGAGTTATGAATTTTCGTCGCAAACTCCGCCCACTTTGGTCAAGCCCCGCCCACCATTGACAGCTGGCCTCCACTCCTCCATACACCTCTATCCACCTTTTTCCGGCTCTTTAGGACTTCCCCGACCCGAATTATGAGGCTTGTAGAAAATGCTGTACACTTCAGAGCGCGCCCCGCCCATTCTGGGCGGGCCTCCGCCCACGTCATGTATGCAGGAAACACCTTAGACATTGCTCCCTTACACCAATTGTTTTCTGCTCTGTAGGCTTTCTCCCAACCGAGTTATGAAATTTTTCATAAAGCACTGCTTTTTTGGAGAACGCCCCGCCCACCGGGGGTGGGTCTCCCTAATTCGATGTTACTCACCAATGCAAACCTTTACCCACTTTTTGGCCCAGTTTCAAGGTCGTTTTCTAAGAGATCTTAAAATCTCGGTCGTCAGTACACTTCATGTCGACGCACGCCACGCCCACTGTGGGCGGGGCTCCGCTTAGCTGATGTGTGTTTTGTACTTCGTGAGACCTTGCCCACCCGTCCCACACTTGACCCGGTCCCTCCAGGCGGATCCCGAGGAGCTAGGGAATTTCGTGACAGACATACAGAACGACAGACAGACGACAGACGAAGCGCTTTATAGTAAGTAGGAAGCTTTTACTTCAGCCAACTTGACTGCTCACAACTTCCTTGGCAGGTTCATTTTGCAGTTTTAGTTTCCATATTTGTAATCAGCGTTTGAAGCTCTATCGATATATCTGGGTCTCTCTCAAAGTTCCATGGGAAGTTGAATGCCTTCCCTGGTAAGTCCTAAATATGTAAAAAGCATCACTTCAAAGAAGACCCTATTCTGACAAGTGTGTAGAAAAATCGTCTATAGATGAGGTCCATACAATGTTTACGTTTTTGTGCAAAATCCACCTTATAGGAAATTCACGTTCTCGTTCGAAATGTATGTTCTCGTAAACGTGGTTCTCAAAACTTAGTGCTTTCTCTGCAGCCCCAAAAACATACTAAGACCCTATCAAAAGTAAAAAATGAAAGTATTCATTAAACCCACGAATAAAAGCACTTTAGAACCATAGCGAAACTTTTAAACATTTGCAGATATGAAAACAACTAGGCGTTACGTGTAGAAACTCTGGCGAAGAAACAAGAGGAAAAACGCAACATACTTGATGCATTTTTGAAGAAGGCGTAGGTAAGGAAGGGGACGGTGAGTGATACTCTTTCCGTTTGGGGGGTGGCGGCTCTCGAAATTCTGTACTTTCGCTACGATCACTAGTGTCGCTGAATGAAGCGTATCGACGTGGTTCATCAAACATCATGTCGTCTGAAATGAAACTATAGAACATGTTCCTAGAAACTGATTCAAAAATAGTTATCAATTCTTTTTGTCAATTTTCAATCAAACCGGCGAATAAAACTCAGGAAAAGTGCAAGACGAAAAAAAATTTAGGGACAAGATTATGCAGTGCAGTACTCTAGCCTACAAAAGAGTCAACATAAAAGACAGCTCAAGGCGGAAGACTCACGCCGTTGAAGTTGGTGGAAGCTATTCAATAGCTATTTTAACGGTGGAAGGGGGCTTCAGAGATCACTCGTACGCTTGTGCAATTTCGAAAGAAATGGTCCTCATTCGGTCTCTGAGTCGAAGCAAAAGAATATTTAAAACGAATGCTTTCAAGAAATTCATCGAACCTATATGTAATAGGTGACGTGAGATAAAGTAGCTGCTTCGATAAGCAAATAGCCCAACTGATAGCTGAATGTCGCGATCCCTTCTTGCGCGATTTTCGCGATTTGCGCGACGGGTCACGGGGAAATACAAGTGCCCCATCCATACTGCAAGGTGTTCTCCAATCCCGCCGTCACTTCTGCTTGATGGTTATGGTTTAATGGAGACTGCTCATGATTCCACTTGTTTCATATCCAGTGTTTCAATTGTTCAAATGGGGCACTTGCAATTTTTGTGATTGGTTTGGTTTGATTCCTGAAAAAAATAGGAACGATTCAAGAGCATTTCAATGAACTAATAGACATTGAACATGAAACAAGTAGAACCACAAATTCGTCTTCCAATCTTTACTGCCAAGCAGAATTCGCAGCAGGATTGAACAACACCTCGCAGTATTCATCGGGCACTTCCAACTCCTGTGATCCATCTGCAGTCGCGATAACATCGCAAAAAATCGCGAACCCAACGGCCAACATCGCGCAAATCGCGAATAAGAATCCGGACTCTGAACACAGCCATAGACTCTTACAACTTCTGAGACTAACCCACTACACATCTTGCCAATCTATCCAACAAGGTTGCCACACACAGCCTACATGATTCCATAAGAAGCAACACTTGACACCTAGTATAGAATTGAACAAGAAGGAAATGAAGGAAAGCGCAATTAAAAGAATTGATTAAAAAATAAGAAATGGAAGATGAAGACAGAGAATACAAAAAATAAAAAAAAACAAAAAAAAAATAAAAAATACACCCAAAGAGCCAAAAAGTGGCCAGTTAATGCGCAAAACAGTCAAAAAGAGCAGCGTAATTGGTGGAAAGTGCATTGAAGTGGAAAACATTAAAAAATTGACGAAACGAAGAGACACAAGGCAACTAAAACATCTGTTGTGGAGCAGTAAGCTGTTACTCACTGATAGTAATTAAAAGCTAACAATTTACCGCCTTGATGGCACGGCGTTTTATAGAGATAAAAGCTCATTTCGGTTTTTCTAACCAGCATCCAGAAGGAGAAAAAAAAATTGAAAATCGAAATGAAATCTCGAACCGTCGAACATGGCATCGGAATCTCTTCTTGGGGGAGGAGAATGATCAGAATCTGTGTTCTGGACTTTCGGCGAATCTTCAACGTTCGGTTGTGAAATCGTGGTGGCAGGCACTTCACCTAAGCCATTACCTCAAGAAATAACTGATACAGCACTCCACTCGAGCAAAAAGAAAGCACAATCAAGACACAAGCATAATTCTTGCTACACTTACTTCGTTCCATATTGAAGGATCGTCGCCTCGGGGATTCCTCGTCGCTTTCATCCCCATAGTCTGCCAATGTGTTCATTCTTAAGAGAAAACATTAATTTGGAAATCAGTTCCGTGAAAATTGGACAAGCAAAAAAAGCCACAAAACGAAAAGAGAGAACAAAGAAGTGGTTATACAGGTCTAAACAAATAGGCGGTTATCGGGACAGGATACTAGTCACATTTGGTGGGCCATTAATTGAAACGAAACTGAGAAGCGACAAAAACCGCCAGTAGTCGGCTGTAATGAAACTGCAAGCTAATTGAATGTGGTTATGTTAGTGATATAACAAGACGCCATGGGTAGAGCAAATAATGAATGACGAAGAAAAGAGAAAATAAGCTGAATTAATCATAAACTTGAACGTAAAACGAAACTAGCGTGAACTTGATAAGGTCGTGTGTGCCTACATCCAACGCAATGAACAGTACGGCGTTCACTCCACATTTCCGCTATTAACATTGGTTACAAGGCTTCTGTCAACCAAAGGGTGAGAGCGTAGCTGGAAAAGCACACACTTTGTGTCTTATTGGGACTAAGCCTTTTGAAGAAGATAAAGAAAGAGGAGATGCTGTGATAGTGTGCACTTGTGAGAGCTCCCAGACATCACTACAAAACGCTGAACCGCCAAGGCTCACGGTTGACAGATGTCCTGAGACCACTAACATTTGGCCATCGAATCAGCCTCTTGGTACTCGCGAGTGGTCAGTGTAAGCTGTGATTGGGAAAA